TTACGTGGGACTCTCACTGCTGTGGCCTCTCCCGCTGCGGAGCACAGGCTCCGGACGCACAGGCTCAGCGGCCACGGCCCACGGGCCCAGCCGCTCCGCGGCACGTGGGATCCTCCAGGACCGGGGCACGAACCCGCGTCCCCTGCATCGGCAGGCGGACTCTCAACCCCTGCGCCACCAGGGAAGCCCCCTGTCCATTTTTTATGGGACCCTTTTCCCTCCTCTAATTTGGCCACTGGAAGGAATTTAATCCTTTAAATAACTTTTAGGTTATTTAGCATTCTAGCCCTTCCCTCTCACTTTCATTTGTCTTTGTGTGTAATTTGGAACTCTTGGCTTACCTATTTATATCTCGTATGTTAGATTGGAGGGGTCATAGAATTTTCTAGTTTCCAGGCCATGTCTACTTTTGAATCTCAACACTCCATATATCAGTGTAAATTGTAATCATTTCCTAAGCAATTTAGGTTCACTTATCTCATTAAGTCTCTTATTTCTGTCATCACCATTTTACAGAGAAGTAAACTGAGGCATCAGTAGGCAAGCAATGTGGCCAAGAAAACAGGTTCTCTAACTAATTAAATATTGTTCTTTCCCATACATTACAATGTGTTGTTAACGTTAACTTTATTTCACCTACAAGGAAAGGTTGGGAAGGGAGGAGGGTATTACACTTCTGTGCATGTCCCTGACCATGCCGAAATGGATTTGTCTTCAACTCTCTAATAACTTCCTAACACTTTTATCTCTAAGTCAGTTGACTACTCATTACTGTGCCATTGTAGGTAGGTTATTAAATGCTGATCGTCATCTTCCTGAGTTTTTGTCCCATGAAGTGGTTACTAACACTTTTGCTATTGGGTTTAAACACTATGACTTGAATCTGTGGATTGTGAAAAATGTTAACTGGTTAAAAGCCTTTTCATGGGCCTATATTTTAGGTTGAGTGTCAGGGAAGTATACAAGATATATAACAGGTTTGGAGCTATGGGAGAAGTGAAAGATGTGGAAAATCTAAAGTACAGCGGTTCCCCCTTATCCATGGGGGGATGCTTTCTAAGACTCCCAGTGGATGCTTAAAACCGAGGACAATATTGAATCCTATACACTGTTTTTTCCTATACAAACATACCTGTGATAAAGTTTAATTTATAAATTAGGCACACTTAGAGATTAACAACAATTACTAATGATAAAATATAACAATTGTAATAAAAGTTACATGAACCTGGTCCCTCGTCTCTCTCAAAGTATCTTATTGTACAAATTTAATGCCTTTTCCATCTTAACTAAACATGAGTTGCAGTTTGAGGTGTGACAGCAAAGTGAGCACGAATTTCTTTTTTCCTTCCACTTTCCCAGATAGACGATTCATTGCTAAGGATCTTAGCAACCTCAACATATGAAATTTTGTTCTTTCCTTATTAAGTCGAGAACTTTCACCTCTTCATTTAAAGGAAGCACTTTACGGTATCCTTTGGCATAAGTGAATTGCCAGTATCACTACTCTTGTAGTTTGGGGCCATTATTAAGTAAAACAAGGACGACTTGATCACAAGCACTGCAATACCCCGGAAAGTTGATCTGATAACCAAGCCAGTTACTGAGTGACCAACGGGTAGGATGTACTGGACAGAGGGATGATTCACATGCCGGGTGGGATGGAATGGGATGGGTGGAGATTTTATTACACTCAGAACAGCATGCAATTTAAAACTCATAAACTGTTTATTTCTGGAATTTTCCACTTAATGTTTTCAGACCACAGTTGACCACAGGTCACTAAAGCTGCAGAAAGTGAAACAGTGAATAAGGGGGGATTACTGTATTCAGAAGCTGCTTAAATGAACAAATAATTCCCATATTATTATACACATATGTGTGTGCATGTGTGCCAGTGTGTGTATCTAACTCTTGACTTACTAGGGTTATTTTATTCTGGCCTTTGAAAATTCTGTTTCTTTACATTATTTCTCATACTAAAACTGTCTATAATTAAGATTCTTTGTGCTTTTAAAACTTCCCTTTTAATTGAACATTTTATTGCATACAAAGCTGTCAAATTGTGACCCTGTGTTTACTTAAGGAGAGGAACTGACTCCCTCTTATAGAGCATATATGAAAATCCCAGTGATTGGTGTGATTCTATAGGTGTGCACGTGGCCGCCCACCTGGTGAATGCCCTCAACTTCTCAGTGAACTACCATGAGGATTTCGTTGAACTGAACGCAGCAAGATACCGAGATGAGGTGGGTGGTCTCTGTCTTCTCATTTTCCTTTCGCTCGTCGTGAGATGACTAGTAAGGGTCTGTGATTTTTACAGAAAATTTGTACCTTGCTGCTCCTTTTGAGTGCTTTTAAAATGCACTTGTCAAGTTGAGTTTTATTCTTTTCAGTAGGAAATAGAGGTAATTACTATTTCACAGTCTCTCCCGCCGAAAATGAAAGTTCAGAGAGCGTCTACTTTTTATATTCCGCAGTGTTCAGAAAGTTTTGCCACTCAGGTCTACCTTCTGCCTCCCAACAGCTTTTGTCTAATTCCTGTAGCTCAGTGGAGACTGTTGACGGTGCCATTACAGGGTAAAAATCCTTCCGTAACTCATACAGTGCTTTGGGGGAAAAAAAGGCAGAAAAGAAGGTTGACTATTTGAGGATCCTGGACCATCAGTTGATTTGACTTAAAAATATTATTGAGTTTTAATGCTTTACTCTGTTTTATTTTGTTTTTAATCCTTATAGTAGGTGACCTTGAGCTGAATTCTATAGTGGGCAGTATCTAACTTAGGGGTGCTTTTCTCCATGTGAAGCTGCCCATGAAATGATATTATATGTACAGGGTGCTGGGCTGGACCAATGAACAACACACGCACAGCCCTAGTTAGGTGTGTGTTGCTCAGCATTTTCATCGTGTCCTCAGGCTGCCTCTGAGTCCCAAAGCCAAGACTGCATCAACACCGAGATGTTCAGGGTCCCATGTGATCAGAACCCCACCCCGTTCTGCTAAGTGTGGTAGTGATTTAATGGATTGTTCTCCATCTTCCCCTTACATATCACCAGAGTTCTCTAGATTAATACTGCTGTGACCACGTGCTTGACCTCCCTTCCAAAACAAAACAAATGTCAAAGTAATGACAAACAAGCATAGACATAAATCACAAAACCAAAATAACAAGCAGCCCTGGATAAATCCCATAACTATACCAGTATTTTTTAAAACACCAATGTAATTTCATTGATCTGGGTTAGGGCCAGGCACTAATATTTTTAAAAAGCTCACTAATGATTGAAGAGTGTGCCTAACATTAAGAACCATGGAAAAGTCTAGCTCCTTAGCAAGCTGGTGGAAGCTCTTCACATGTAATGATTTCACAGCAAAGCTTCCGTCTCTCCCTGTCTCTCATCACTTCTCTCATTCGTCTATCCTCCTCTGCCCAAATCACATGGGGTTACTTGTGTCTTACTCCCGCCATGCAGTTTCCTTTTTTATCTTTTCCTTCTTTGCTTCTCTTTTGCTTTCTAAATTCATGTCTTCAATAACTACAATAATCATATCATTTTATTACAATATACTTTTGCTTAATATTCCAATATTTTAGTCATTTTAAGATTTCTAGTTATTAAATTTATTTCACTTTAAGAGAGATATAGGCTCAATGGAAAATATTTTAAAACTCCCAAGTAAATGAAAAGCAAAAGCTTCTCTTCCAAAACTAGCCGCAGTTAATGATTTTATGTTTTCTTATAAGATATTTTGAGTGGTATTTTATGATACATATTCTTCAGCAATTTGTAAATATATGTATTGTGGCTTGCTGTATCAGAAAGTATACATCTACCTCATCCTCTTCATATGAATACACCATAATTTATTTTTAGCCTTTTCCTTATTCACAGATGTTTAGCTTGATTCCGAGTTTTTGTCATGAACTGCATGCCAATAAATTTATTTTTTTGTACACTTCTGCTAGGCAGATTCATGGAAGTAGAATTTTGGTTTCAAAGTTATGCACATTTTTAGTTTTGATGGACAAATTACCTTCCGAAAAAGCTTCACCGCTTGATACACTCTACCAATTTTATCAGAATGCTTATTTCTACACTTCACTTGTTTGTAAAAAAACGTTGCTGATCTGATGGTTGAAAAACGCTATAACTCATTTTAATTTACACTTTCCCTTTTTCCCCCTTCCTTCCTTCATATCTTCCTTTCTTTCCCCTCCCTCTCTTCTTTCTTGTAATAAATATTTTTGAGTACCTAGTAGGTACCAGGCCATGTACTAGATGAAGATGAAAAAATACACACATACACAAACACACACTCACACATACATATATTACATATATAAACGGTTATATTCTTCTGTGAATTGTCTCTGAAAATGATGGGTTTATGATGTGCACCTTATTGTCCTGCTCTGTGCTTTCATCCTGTCTTCTCCACATCTCCAATGACCCCTCCATCCTCCAGTTTGTGATGGTGGTGCATTCCTGACGGCCTAGCTCTGTTGGCCTCATCTTGTCATCTGTGAAACAGTCTCTTACTCTTCTATTCCATCTTCATTCCCTGGCAATATTAATTGTTCCATCTTCTGAGTTTCCATAGTTATTTATTCATATTTCTGGTATCACCACTTTGTTCAGCCCATCTTGTATTTTTACTAATTTTTTGTGTATTAGGTTACTCTAGATTAGCCTTTAGTCATGTTTCTACCATCAATGGTAGAATTCATTTGACCTAAACTGGATGAGGAGCTATTCTTGGGCAAATGGTCCTTGTTCAAGACCCCTAAAATTGTATCATATAAATGGCTTCCTACTTTGTATGTAGCCTGGCCTGACCCCAGATTCAATGGAGGCATGAGGAAAGAAATTCAGAAGTTGTGCAATATTAGGCACCCTTAGGATGAAAAATTAATCCATATTCTACTGGGAATTGATCTAAAGTTTTCCAGAAGACAGAAAGGGAGTTGACTTCAGTCCATTATACCACAAGAATGTAGTTTAAAGGAAATATTACAATAACCATATTAATGTGTTATATTTCTGAGTAGCAGGAACCTGTCTTCCTTATTTGAATATCATCACTTATTTTTACAGTAGCCTTTGAAACATTTTAGTTCTCAGTTAGTGTTCTCTGTACTGAATTTACACAGTACAACCCCCGCTACATATTTTATCACTTTTGATTCTCACTGTCTTGACACTCATTAGGTGCAGTTTGGCAATTGTGGTAGATAAAGTATATATTAATGTTTCCACAATATAGGTAAGGTATTGAGCCCCAAAATGGTCAAAGGGTGGGCTTCAGGCCACTGCCACTAGCTTATAATAGCTTATAACTGGCCATGAAGATGAAAGCCTAGGCTTTCTGACTCTTCATACAATATTCTTCCTTTTTCAGATAGCTAAATTTCTTGGAATTGGGTTTTGTATGTATTATAATCTCCTGTGATATTGTAAAAACATTATGAAATTCAATTGCGTCTTATTTCCGTTGAGAGAACAGTCTCTTACATACCTAATACATGGCTCTTATCTCTCTCAGACTCATTGCAGAATTTTATGTTATCAGTTTTATTTTTCAGTCAATTTTTTTTTCCTTTTTATCAGGATCCTAGAAAACTTCTCTTCACAACTGGTAAGTTGTTACTCATTTCTGCTTCTGAAGATTCAGGGAAATCTTGGAAAATAAGCATCATCAAATTACACAGCATTTTGATATATGCTAAAATATAACATGGAAAATTTGCATATGAGAACAAATGATTAGGAGTTCAAGCATACGGTTGCAATGAAAACAGAGGGACAGGGCAAACAGTCAGGGTTCAGATGAATGAAGAGTAAAAGTAAGCAAATGCATTTGCCTTTCATATGTTCTTTCAAAGAAAATAACATAATGCCTTATGCTTATTGAGGGCCTGCTATGTGCCCACTGCTTTGGAAAGTACTATTGGAGATAGTACATATGGACCAGTTCTCTGTCCTCAAGGGTTAGAAAGAAACACCAAGCACTCTGAGTGTCAGTGTAGTTCTTCTAATTCAGTAATTTAGTAGGATATTTTGTGATCTTAAAACCCATGGAAAAAGAGGAGAAACAGTCATTAAAATAAGTTATCTTTCTTGAAATGTCTTCTTTCTCACTTCTAATTTACTTTTCCTTCTCAAACATACTGTCCATGAAATCTCAGTATAGACTATTCATTTGTTAAAGCACATTTGAACATCTCAAAATTTTGCCCTGATATTAGTACAGTATTTACTATTTTCTTCTTTTTCTCAACCTTACACTTATAATAATGAAAAAGAAACTGTATTTGAGGGGTTTTTTGTTTGTTTAGTGGTCTAAGATTCTTTTTTTTTTTTTTTGATGTTGGGGGGTAGGAGTTTAATTAATTAATTAATTTTTGCTGTGTTGGGTCTTCGTTTCTGTGCGAGGGCTTTCTCTAGTTGTGGCGAGCGGGGGCCACTCTTCATCGCGGTGCGCGGGCCTCTCACTGTCGCGGCCTCTCTTGTTGCGGAACACAGGCTCCAGACGCGCAGGCTCAGTAGTTGTGGCTCACGGGCCCGGTTGCTCCACGGCATGTGGGATGCTCCCAGCCCAGGGCTCGAACCTGTGCTCCCTGCATTAGCAGGCAGATTCTCAACCACCGCGCCACCAGGGAAGCCCCGCCCTTGAAGGATTTTTAACTTGTATTTCGGGGACAAGGACGATTGTGTAGCGGAGATGGTCTATCATAAAGGCTTGGCTGTACTCCCTTATTAAGGGTCAGAATTGCATATGGGACTGAGGCATGGCTCTGTCAAATGCATTGTTTTTCTTTTGAATCAATTTTATGGTGAAAATAAGAATAATTGGGGTGTTTTCCCGCTCCACGTCGCAACGACATATTTACATTGATAATATATATATTTTTTCTGCCTATCAATGTATGATGCTTGCCATTTGCAAAGTACTCATTTCAGTTTTCTCTTTAGGAACACAATTTAGTTTTGTTTACAAATTTGCTCATTGAAAGCATGTTTTTATTTAAGCCTTAAGAATTGGGTGAGGGGCTTCCCTGGTGGCGCAGTGGTTGAGAGTCCGCCTGCGGATGCAGGGGACACGGGTTCGTGCCCCGGTCTGGGAAGATGCCACATGCCACGGAGCGGCTGGGCCCGTGAACCATGGCCGCTGGGCCTGTGTGTCCGGAGCCTGTTTTCCGCAACAGGAGAGGCCACAGCAGTGAGAGACCTGCGTACAGCAAAAAAAAAAGAATTGGGTGAGAAGTAGAAAGGAGAAAAAGCAGAACAACAAAACAATGTATGAATCAATGTATTTTTTGGTTCATATGAATCATTTCAAGAGAAATAAACAAGAATTTTGTTTTAATATTATCTTGTTCAGCACAGAGTATAGTTGAAGACTTGGAACATTTGAAATGCTTAAAAAAGTTTAGTTTACAAAGATATAAGGAGATTTCTTATATGACAAAGATATTACATTAAGAAACTTAGTAAAATCAATACTTCTTTATAAGTAGGCGATCTCTCCACCTAGCTTGAAACACCATCATCCTATGTTCTTTCCCAGTAGTTCCCATGAGTGTGTTGGGTTAGGTAAAGATGATACTTAAAAACACAAATTCCTGATTCCAGCCTAGAGAGAGTCCAGGTTGGGACCTGCCAATATGCTTTATTAACCTTTCCACTATTGTTTTACCCTTTAGTGAGCATCTTATTATACTCTTGAGCATACCTTCTCACGACTACCTACCTTTTACCTACTCTCTTACTCTCTTTTTTTCACCTGGTCAACCCTTGCCTATCCTTTAAGTCTCAGTTGCCATGCCTATCATGCACAGATTTCTGCCAAATTTCACTAAGTAGAGCTGGTCTCTTCTTGCCCTGGGTCCCTAAAGATACATAGTGAAAATACTATGAATAATTTATTTCCTTGCCTATACTGTAGAATAATTATTACCTTACATATACTGTGTTTTCCACTCAAAGGTGAGCTTCTCCAGGGTGGAAAAGGGATGCCCATAGGGCATGCAGAGAAAATATTTTGTGTGGCATTTCTGTCAATACAAACAACTTGAATTATCCAAAATCAGCATGTCAGCATCACTTTAGTGGCCTAGTTCCAAAAAATTTCATGAAAGAAGTACTGTGCTTGCCATCAGGTGCCATCTACTCCACAGGGACACAGATCCCCCCCCTTAAGTATGAGGCTAGAGCTCCTCAGGCATCTGGTCGACCCCACTGAATAGCAGCAAGTGAGAGAGCAAAGCAGAATCTAAGGATGGTAATGGGATGAGTGACACTGTTCACTTAGTCCAACTTTGAATTCACTTAGTCCAACTTTGTGTTATGAATACATCTCTGAGTCTATTTCACAGCTATCTTTGAATATTGTCAGGCACAATACCTAGGAAGAATAAAGTTCCTGATGAAGAAAGGCATGCATGTTTTTAGATGTTCTGATGATAAAGCATATTTTCTATTAGTTGATATAGTTCTTGAATTTTAATTTGTTTAATGTTACTTAGAGTCTTCTCTCTCTCTGTCTTTAAAAGTTTTTCTGTGTAACCTAGGCCTAAGAAATAAGGTTGTCTTGTAGAAAATAAAGCCTGTGGCAGCACAAGTGACATAAAATATGGGATTTAGACTCACTAAGTAAGAAATGTTAAAGACATTTCAATTAAGAATTTATAGAATAAAATAAGTTTAATAGATTGAATTATTCAAACATTTTATAATGCTCACTATGTATCTCCAAATTTGGTAGTACTTGTATGATGAGAATAAAATGCATAGTATCTAATTTTAATTAGAAAAACCCTCACAAACAAATACAATTATGTCTCCAATTCTGTTTGTAAAAACAGGATAATGAATACAAGATGGTATATTTCTGACTATATCTGGGTATGGATGAAAATGATCTTTCAGTTTCATCTAGAAATGACAATATAGTGCAGTTATTCATTTGAAGGGCTACTAATTAATTAACCTAATATGCATAGATAGAAGAGTAATAATAAGAGTAAACATAACAAGCATGTTTTTTCCTAAGGAAACAAATATAGGTTTTGCTTCATAACTTGAAGACCGAGAGTTCACAGTGTATTCACTTTGGCAAGTAGCTTTCCCCAGTGAGCTTAGACTAGCGCAGTAATTTCTAACCTGTGCTTCCTGACTCTTGGAATATGTGTGGTAGTAGAGGCTAATTTATTGGGACTTGGCTGCGCTGTCATCCAGCGCTAAGTTAGGATGCCCTTTGATGTACCTCGAAAACACTCAATGCTTAGCATTCTTTCAGCACTTAATATCCTATGTTGCAATTGCCTGCTTACACTGTCTCCCACACTGGACTGGGATTTCTTTTAGAGGAGGATTCATTTTTTCCTCTAGCACTTAACAGTACAGTACAGATGCCTAGAAAATATTCACTGAATGGATAAAAGTCATTTATTTTTAAACTTTACTACTTGTTGCACAGATATTCTCTACAACACTCCAGATGATTGGTTGGCCAACCTGTTTGTTTAATTCCAGTAAAGAAAACCATAGCTTTTTTTTCTTTTTTTACTGAAGTATAGTTAATTTACAATGTTATGTTAGTTTCAAGTAGACAACGAAGTGATTCAATGATACATATGTATACACGTATATTCTTTTTCAGATTCTTTTCCATTATAGGTTATTACAAGATATTGAGTATAGTTCTTTGTGCTCTACAGTAGGTCCTTGTTGTTTACCTGTTTTATTCAATATATATAGTAGTGTGTATATGTTGATCCCAAACCCGTAATTTATCTCCCCCGCAGAATCCCCTTTGGTTTTTAAGTTACCCACCCCACCCTTCTTTTTTGACCACCATAACTGCAATTTTTTTTTCATTGCTACTTATAAGTCAGTTTTTCTTCTTTATTGCTCTGAAGTCTATTACTCTATAAATTACAAACTCTGTTCCTTTTGTACTTCTGGGAGACAGAAAGGGAAAATGAATTCTTCAGCTAAAAAAGTTAACTTCATAAATCTGAAAGAACCTTAAGAAGCATTGAATTGATCCTCAGTTTACAGATGAGATTCAGTGAGCTAGGGGTTTGGCCTAAGAGACAGTAACAGGACCACAATCCCAGAACATACATACATACCCCAGGCTGTCTGGGGCCTCATGTCGAATTCAAATGACCGAGGTCAACTATTTCACCCTCTCTAAGTCTTTCCAGTATGTTTTCCACGCCCTGCTCTAAAAGATGTGCTCTAATTAAATGTTTGAGGAAGTTTATCTCTTCAATTTTACCCTGGTTTCTTGACTTCAGTACTTCTCAGAAGCTTTACATTAATGTGCCCTGTGATTCTTCAAGGAATGGTTATAACATTTTTGAGTAATATAAATTAATACCTCAAGGAATTAATGTTTAAATAATACCCTTTGGAAATTATAACTTTGTTCTAAACATACTCTGTTTTTTCAGGTGCCCTGATGAAGTGTTTTGCAGACATTCTGTAACTAATCTTGGCATGTTCAGGACTACATAGGAAACCTTGTGTGTAGACACTCATGAAGCCTCAATAAAATTACTGGAAAGGCCTCTCCAACCACAAATTTTACATTTTAAGTGAAATTAGTTGAAGCCAGAGAGAAAGACCTCCTCTTTTCTTTTTTTCTTTAAATTTATTCAGTTACAATTGAAGCACTCTGAATTATACATATGTAAAGCATGCTACTTGATTGGTTTTGATATATGTATACACATGTGAAACCATGATCAAAATCAAGATAACAAATATGTCCATCATTCTGTCCTGCTCTCTACCCCTCCTAACTACAGATCTGCTTTCTATCACTAAAGAATGCTCTGAATTTTCTAGAATGTTGTATAAAAGAAATCATAGAGCTTATGTTTTTTCAGGTTGTTTTGGTGGGGGAGGACAGTCTGGCTTTTTTCACTAAGTCTAATAAATTTTGTGATTCATCTGTGTTGTCATATATGCATAGGTATGTATCAGCAGTTCTTTCTTTTTAAACTGCTGGTTAATTTTCCAGGTACAGATAAACAATTATTTATCCATTCATCTGTTGATGGAAATTTGAATTGTTTACAGGCCTTGAGTATTAAAAATAAAGTGGTTATGTACATTTTTGAACTAGTTTGGGGTGGATAAATGTTTGTGTTTTGGGGGGGGTATATTCTTGGGAGTGGAAAAGCTTGGTTATTTTGTAGGCATGCTGTTCTTTTTAAACAGTATTTTTCTGTGCTATTCGTCCTTTCCTGTGAACTAGTGTAGTTATCTTGCTCTTCTCTTACCCCCTAGGAAGTAAGTACTCACCTGGGGCAATGGGAAAGACAATGGGAAAGGGAGTACCCAAGAAAGAAGTGTAGAGAAGAGATGATTTGGATTAGGCACATCTGGGAAAGGCAAGGATTGTTAGGCTTCCAAATTTGTGTATTGGGAAGAGTGAAAGGAGAGCATACTCCAGTGTTAAGTTCCAAAGACCAACTCCTTTATTTCTCATGTGTCCCTTTACAAGTGGAAACTCGTTTCTATTGTACTGGGATTTCTAATGTTATTTTCCAATGATTCTAAACCCTCTGTGATCCTAATGGTGCACATCCCTGTTGCTCTTATATTATCCCCAGCTTGTTTGCTTCTGCTGGTGGCTTATAGTCCCTGATGGTCCTTCTGTTTCATAGGTGGTTCCTTGTCAAGAAGAAGAGTGGGGGGATGTCTATACTTTTGGAGGCAGAATTGTTTCAATACCTTTTCTACAAAAGTTTAAGATGGAATCTGTCAGCTAGGTCATTTAGTACTTATTGTTGCTTATAAGAGTAAAAAAGGTGACTTATAGACAGAATATTTTATTTGGTAGTAATGAGATAATAAGAAATGAGGCTATTGTGATTTTCACTCTTTGATAAAGCATATCACCTATTCATCTTGGACGTGCTGTATGAGCTGACACTAGATTTGTAGCACTCTATTATGTCAGTATTAATTTTGAAAATTGACATGTTTACACACTTTACAAAATGCTGTGTACTATCAGAAGCACTGATTTCAAAATGTTTTCCATTCTGAGGGGAAATACGTCTGCAAGTGTTCTTAAAACATCAACACTGTAACTTTTTTCTTCAAATTCACCATTTTTTGTTTTACACTCGAAGTTGCAGTTTTTAGAAAGGTTCAGGTTTTGTTTATTTTTTCTTGAAAATTATTCTAGATAGTGAAGCCCAAAAGAAATTATTTGACATTGAAACTGAAGGAGCTACTAGTTCCGTAAAAGCGGGGAGGTGAGAGTAAGGAGGGTTTAGTACTATGGTGGAGAAAACCAAAACAAGGGAGTTGAATGTCAACCCTGTCCTGTTGTATTAATTATTGACTTTTGTTATAGTATGTACCTATAAAAGTATGCACATATTCACCATTCTGAGTAGAATATTTGAAAATACCAAAATGGACTCTTCTGTTAAAGGTGGAAAAGACTCTGCTTTGTCCTAAATACCTTGAAACTTATGCTAATTCAAAAAAGCCTTTTTTAAGAGGGAAACGAGGAAACATACAATTTGAATTGAGCTTCCCACAGATCAGCCTAGTACTTTGAATTTTAAGGTAATAACTTTTTGTACATTTTTTCTCAGCATGACTTAAGTTAAACATACTTATGTACGTTTTTATAGTTCCTGGCCTGACAGGGGTCTGCATGGTATTGGTGCTCTTCCTGATGATTACAGCTTCGACATATGCAATACGGTGAGTGTCAGAGCCATTATTTTGATGTTTCTTGGTCAGATTATTTAGACTTCCTTAAGATTATCTTCATTTTCATATGTAGAAAACGTCTCGATTAACCCGAATGTTTAGCCAATGCAATATTCTGGTTACTGGACTGTTCTGTGTAACTAAGAGGGAAATAGAGAGGCGTTTCTATATATCATTTCCTGTTTTTGAAAAATCTCTTTCTTTCAGTCAAATATTCCGGGTTGTAAGGAATTGTGTACGGAGACTTTCCAAATACATGTTCCAAAGTGGAATAAAAGGGGGCGGGGTGTGGCTTACTAAATATTAAAATTATTATGCTTCAGTAACTTAAAACAGGATAGGGAATTACTATATTGTACACCTGAAACTAATGTAATATTGTAAGTCAACCATACTTCAATGAAAAAAAACCAACCAGAATAGGACTTACTTGCAAAAATGACCAAGACACTGAACTAAATGATAGCAGACAGAAAGCACTGCAAAAGACTTCGCTATATGTAAGAACGTGCTAAATAATAAAGATGCCATTATAAACTTATGAGGAAGGTAAGGCTTAAGTGAATTAAATTCTAGATAAATTACAGAGTTTACTGTAAAAAATTATACCACTAAAGATTTAGAAGAAACTTTAAGTGGATATTTTATCAGCTCTCATAATGGACAAGGAAAAATATAGGAAATATTTGGCTACCTAAAAATATGAAAACTAAAACTCCTGAATGTCAATATACATTATAAAAACTGAAAAATAAACATGCTATTGCAAAAATTATTACACTCTCATGGAAGTATTACATTCTTAAATTTGAATAGTTTAACCCACAACAATTGAGAAATATGCTATAGAAATGGGTAATTATTATGAACAGATAAGTCACAGAAGAATACAAAGTAACACAAAAATGAAATAATACCTAATTCCACTTATACAAAATACTGAAGATGTATAAAGTGGAGTCTGGGTTTGGGGAAACAGGCCCTCCTGCACTATGATTGGGTTTGTAATTTATAAACCTGTTTCAGAGAGCAATAGGTAATGTGTATCAAAAGCCTTACAAAATGTGTGTCCTCTGATGTCATAATCCCACTTCTAGAAATTTAGATTCAAAAAGAAGCAGATCTGTGCAAAAAGGCTTACGTTACAAGGATGCTAATGACCTTGTTTATGATAGCAAAAACTGTGACCCATGTAAATGTGACTCTGTTGGCTCTTGCCTAAACTGGGGGTTCTAAAGTTTCTAGGGGTTGTATCAGAATCATCTAAGCTTTTACGAATACCTGCCCACCACCTCCAAGATTCTAATGCATGAATATCTACCGAGATATATGAAATAAACTAACTATTAGTCTTTTTCCTTCTCTCAAACATTCTAGGTTGTGTTTATTATACCCATTCCTCTTCAGACTCTTTGTCCTCCCCCAGGACAGTAACACAAGGTGTTACTTTAAAGTTATACACTGTCCAGGAAGATAAGAGAAAGTTTTAATGAACACTTATTTAGTTTATCTCCATCTGAGTTTCCTTTGAACTACTCTCAAAATATATATTGGGTTAGAAACATTGGTTGTCTTAGAAGTCATTTGCAAATTGAGAATATTGATAAAAAGGACAGCAGAAGTACGTGTTAGCAGACTCTTGCCTGCACCTTCGCCTTACATCATAGTAACTTGAATATAAACAGCTGATTTTAATTCTTTCTATGTATCTTTATGTGAAATACAAAGAACCTTCAAAATGATAAAGCGTTACTTATAATTTTTGTCAGTTCTCTCTGCAGTGGTATGTTAATACTTTGATATTAATAGATAAATCTCAGATGAACTCATTGTTAAGTATGAGTTAAAATATTAAATATGAGTTAAAACTCAAATATGAGGTAAAACTCATATTTTAACTTTCAATTGTGACACGTATTTGAAAGGACGCACGATTCTTTTAGTGAGATGGAGTGTAAAGTGGAATTGAAATTAAGTTATTTGTTTTTTCAGAGTTTCTAACTATGACATCTTCTGGTACACTCATAATCTCTTCTTGGTATTCTACATGTTGCTTATGTTACACGTATCAGGGTAAGTTTAAAAAACTGTTTTTAAAGCTATGTGTGCCTAAAAATGGGGTAATAAAAGAGAAATCTATAGAAATTTTCATAGGAAACGGTAAAATTATTTGGTTACTCGGAATTGAGGGTAGTGTCAAGAGTGGAATAAATAGTTCTATTTTCAACATATCATGTTTTAACAAAACTAGCATAAAAGTATATTAAAATGGAAAGACAGAGTTACTTCTCCCACAATGTTGTAGTTTTTAAAGCCCCCTATAGTTATAGCCTGATAAGCTCTAAAAGAAAGTGAGTAGGAACTGAAGAACTTCAAGAAGATATTTAGTGTTTGAATTTTCAGGAATTTATTATGACTTGCTGCTGCAGAGTTTGTAACAGTGGAGTTACTAGTTTACTAATATTCGCAGAGACAGCCAAAGATTTATAAGACCCAAAGACAAGGATCTGTCAAAAACACCAGAAAATCACAAAGGGAAGAGAGATAGCATCCCAAGTTTTTACAAAGAATTTACCCCAAATACTCAAATGCATGGTGCTTAAAATAATTCATTAGGTCAGAGGATGTAAATAAATAATATATTTTTGTGTATGTATATGTCTGCATGATTACAGAGTGGACCTGTGATTTTGTCTTGGCACTCACACTAATGTGACACAATAGGCTATTGTCTGGCGTCAGGTTCACTTGGTTTAGTAGAAGGATACAGGACAGGAAACATGGAATGTCAACAGGATAATGTCAGGTGCTTCTTCAATAGGGCTCCCTCTAGATGCACAGTAACCATTTTCCACCTTCTCTCCCTTACCTGAATGTAATAACTCAGTTTTAAGATGAGACCATATGGATACACAAGGACTACCTTGCCTTGGGAAGGCTCGTGCTCCACAGGAACCAGTCTCTTGGTAACAGTCCAAGTCTCCTCAAGGGATGCCCTCAGTTGCTAGAACACACTGCATCAGGAAGCTGAGGTCACTCATGCATCCTCCAGGTCCAGATGCTTTCCATCAATAATAATCAATGCTGGTTGGTAACACAGCTGGCACTCCCTGTTTATCTTAACTCCAAATGTTTCCAGGGAAACAGTATTTGGAGAAAAGTTCAGACCTGCTGTTAATTTTTTCTTCAGAATGTTTTATAATGTACTTTGTCAGTACAATAAATCTTATCCATAAATTATATATTTATTTCAAGGTGCGTGTTCAAAATGTTGTTCCCCCAGTTTTGGAGGCCATTGATTTAGACATCAGTGTTATGTGGATCTCTGTCTCCTATGTCCCGGTTCAATTTATTCTGTATCATGGTTCTAGAACATATAATTGTAGAGCATTAGACACATGGCCACACATAATCCCGACTTCCAGCTAGCCATGGCTGCCACACAGGGAAGAGGGCCACAGTCAGTGGAACCTCTGGGTTCTGTTCTTTTCCCATTGTGGGGCTAACACATTCTGTAGAGCATTAGGGCACCGAGAAAGCCCTTGGTAGAGAAAATCTGCTTTATATTCTGTTCTTTAAATGGCTTGCAAGCCTGTCCAGGGCTATTATCATAAAAATGGACTATGAGTAAACAGATGTGCTACTAATGAAAATACTAATTTAAAACATTTGCAAAGTGCTTACTATATGCCAAGCATAAATTCAAAATGATTTAGATGATTTATATTATTAAAGGATTATAGTTTTTTTTTGTTTTTGTTTTTGTTTTTGTTTTCTTTCTGCGGTACGCGGGCCTCTCACTGTCGTGGCCTCTCCCGTTGCGGAGCACAGGCTCCGGACGCGCAGGCTCAGCGGCCATGCCTCACGGGCCCAGCTGCTCCGCGGCATGTGGGATCTTCCCGGACCGGGGCACGAACCCGCGTCCCCTGCATCGGCAGGAGGGCTCTCAACCACTGCGCCACCAGGGAAGCCCAGGGTTAGAGTTTTATAAGGATAAATAATATTGTTAAACCCTTTTTATGGGTGGGAAAACAGATTTAGAGAGAGTACATAATTTGCTAAAGTTTGCTTAACTGATGTGTCCTGGATTCAAATCCAGGCATTCTGACTCAAAAACTTATATTGTTATACTGTTTTTTTTTGAGAGTCTAGTACTTCTAAGAATTTGGTCTTAAGTTTTTTTTAAAGAGGTTAATATCTTGATTTATCTGGAATTGTTCTCCCTCTCTCTCTCTCTAGCTATAACAGATGAGAGAAAAATATAATAATTTGTTAGTATAATTAGTTATACATTCTTTGGCCTTTATGTTATACTAAATTAAAACTGAGAAAATCTGTTTCTTTGTAATTCAAAGTAGAGTTATTTTTCAGAGTTTCAGGAGTTCTAACAGGCTTCTGAAGTTAGAGAGTATTAGGAGTCCTTTCTCCATTTTTTTGGAAGTAAAAGAAGGTATATTTAAAATTTGATTTTACTTCTGTAGAACAGGGGTCATATAGAGAAAGTGACTTTAATTTATGTAAAGAAATAACCAAAGACATCAACAGAATGAGTTAAATATAATCACTCTATTATACCAACTGTGCCAATGTTAAAGGCTTAGACATATCTTTATTTATAAAATTCCTTGATAATGTCATTCTCTAGCTTTTGGTTATACAAGTAAAGTGCAGCTATTCAAAACAAGCCTTCTTGAATTTATATTGAGATTTCTGTTAAACGGTATGCTTTAGATTTGAACAGAAAAGCACTATTTGTTGGG